CTGGAAACAGCCTCCCTGAACATCAAAAGGAGTACGACTGCACGTGGCCTTATGATTGGTTCGTTCTCTGAAATCGAATTCATTCAAACATTCATTCAAGACACGCTTAGGGTGCCTACTGAGTGCAGACACTGATCTAGATGCTAGGGACACAGTGACTAAAAGAGAAATCAAGGAGTAAATTGAAGGCAATAGAAAGGTATTAATAATCCCTAGGAACTGCCCCAGGTATATGGGGACAACTGTCGCTGAGGGATAGGAAGTGGTGTCTAAGAAATTAAAAGCTCTATAAGAATCGCCTAGGAGCCCTAGAGGCGCGGAGCTTAATGCACTTGGCTTCAAACGGAAAGGCCCCCAGGTGGAACCACCAGGGGAGAAAGATGTGGCAGTCTGCTTCACAAAGTTTACAGCCTTGGGAACCCTTCGGGGAAAGTTCTGTGTCCTGTAGGGTCTCTGCCCATGACAGCAATGGGTTTGCGGCAGTGATCACAATAGCGAAAATTCTTCCTTTCCACCGTGCAATTAACATGCCTTGTTCGCCCCTCCCTTCTCTAGCTTATTCACTTCTTCTGGCAAGAAAACGCCCCCACCAGGTGTCCAAGTGTCCTCTTCACTCTACCTTCTGGAAGCTTTTGACCCCTATGGTTCCACTCAGGCTCTGGCTCTGTTAAATGTCCAGGAATTCACGGGTTCATGAAAGCACTACCATTCTTAGAAATTAAATTACCCAAACTTACAATTAACTAAATTGTATTAAAAACCAAGGTAACGAACCCTCAAAACTCATCACCCCCTCGTTAGTGTACTGTCTACACTCCTTGGGTTGTTTACATCTGTCATATCTGAATGGTGGGAATATCAGTGCTACTGTATCTCCTTTCCCTGTGTAGTGACATTCATTGGCAACTAGAAATCTGCCATGGTGTAAGTCCTTACAACACACACATCCGCAAACGCAAAGTCATTGTTTCCTCGACTATCTAGACTTGGAAAAGTGACAGAGAAAAACGTTCATAATGCTGATTAAACGTTAAGGTGAGCCAAGTCGACAGCCATTACGCTGTGAATATTGTGGTTGTGTGCCTTTGAGTTGATTCTGACACACAGTCACCGTATGTGACAGAGTAGAATTGCCTCTTGGGGGTATTTGTGACAGAGTAGAATTGCCTCTTGGGGGTATTCGAGGCTGTAATCCTTCTGGGAGCAAGTTTCAAGGTCTTTGCTCCCTGGAAGCGCCTAAGCGGGTTTGAACTTCCAACATCTGGTGAGCAGCCAAGTGTTTAACCACCGTGCAACCAGGGCTTATGAGATGGTGAATAGAAGCAAACATTTGAGGAAAGATTCTTCTAGTAGCTGAAACCTATGCAGCAAAGAGGCTGGGAAAATCCCTGACATGTCAGGTTTAGCCGTCTATCTGACATGTCAGACTGCCAACCAATGTTCATATGGGAAGTACACACTGGTCAACTGCAGCCAGAGGTAGATTAGACACAATCAGTGAGAGCATTCCAGGACATCAATGAGCTATTTGGAATTTGCAAGTCACACTATTGACCAGTATTGTTTGTAAATTGTATTATACATCCCTTATATTGGTAAAATTTACCATACAAATCTAGTCAGCCTGTAAGTATGACTGACTGTGTAATTTGCATGGCTCAATGCAAGATAAAAACTGCGGGTCCTTTTGCAAAATCATTCAAAATGTCAAGCCAGAGCCGGCATATAATTATGACTTCACTGCACCACCACCACCACCCCAGCCCAGGCTGTTGTGAAATAGGGGGGGACTTCCAAAAGTTTATGGGAAAATGGACTTAAGAGATACAAAACTTAAAAATACAAACTTTAGGTCTCAACATAAGCTCTATCAAGGTCAAGATGCTGTTTTGTAAGCAATACCAGCCATTCAGTCCATCCCTAAAGAACTGAGGGTCCTGGGAGTGTAGCCATATCAATGCAGTCTTTTTTCCATTGTTAACTGACCCCCAAATGGCTTCAACACTCACTGACATCAAGTCGATGTTGACTCATAGCGACTCTAACTGCCCTGTGAGTTTCTGAGACTGTAACTCTTTACAGGAGCAGAAAGCCCTTTCTCCTGGGGATTCTCCCTCTTCCAGCTGCAACAAGTAACCACACCACCAGGGCTCTTTTTGTAAGGCTTGGTGGGGGAGCTGGGGCAGGGACAGAGATAAAGTCAGAAGGAGCCAAATTAGAACTGAAACTGAAAGTGGTTTTGTCAAAACCCTGGGAAACATCATCCTTGTTTGATGAGAATAGTGAGTAGGGGCGCTGGTGAGACAGAGAAGGGCCCTCTGATGTAGCTTTCTCAGGTGTTTTTCTGCTAAAGCTTTACCTAGCGTTCTCTATACATCTTCATCTGTTACTGTTCGTGAACCTTCCAGAGACAACAAGCAACATTTTATCTAGAGGGGAATTTGACAGAATCTACCAAGGTTATACATTAATTGGCTATCTGACCCTGCAATTCCAGTTCTAAAATAGGGCCTTGATATACCTGCCCCAGGACACAAGGATGTGCACAAAAGAGCATTCATTGCAGCCTTTTTTTTTTATGGCAAAATGCTGGAAACAAGAGGAGTCTATTAGCCAAGGCTACTGAATGGCAAATTCAAACCCACCAGCAGCTCTGTGGGAGAAAGATACAGCAATCTGCTTCCAGAAAGATTTTAAAACAAAAATCCCAAACCCACTGCCAGTGAGTTAATTCCAGCTCAGAGTGACCCATAAGACAGACTGAGACTAGCAATCTTTACAGAAGCAGTTGCCTCAATTTCCTCCTGCAGAGCAGCTGGACACTGACCTCTCCATTATTGGCTCAGTGCCTAACCCACGGTGCCACCAAGGTTATCCCATGCATGGATTACTGCATAGGAAACTCTGTGAGGCATTTCTATTTTTACCCATCGGGTCATCAAGTTGGAATTGACACAATGACAACGCAGGGGCTGGTGGGTTTGAACTGCAGACCTTGTGTAAGACGACCAATGTGTAGCACCATCAAGAGTTCTTCTTACACACACACACACACACTCCCTCTCTCTCTCTCTCTCTCTCTTCAAAAGTTTGTGGGAAAATTCCATTACCTTTTTTCCGTTACCTTTTCAATGAACTTTTTTATGAAGCCCCCTTCTCTCTGTGTGTGGGTGCGTATAAAAATTTATTTTGAAGTCTGAATGGTGAATATATTATCTATTTGGAAATGTTTTGTAATTAAGCATAGCGATGCAGTGAAATTCCATTTTTCCTATTGTTTAGAGAATTTAAGACATAATATTGCTTTTACAATTACAAAGAGCTTGTAGAATAAAATATTGGCTATGATTTCTTGGGAATGATTTTGTGAGCTAAAAACTTCTTGCAAAGTGCCAAACCTAACACATCTTCAAATGCATAAGAAACTGCAAGACGCCGGCAAGGCCCACACGTCCGTCTAAGTACAGTGGGCCGGTCTCAAAACTCCGATCCCGCCTCTTCGACCCAGCCCCGGGCACCAGGAGAACCGACTCCGCGCAGCCTCAGCCCGGGGGCAGGGGGGAATGATAGCAGCGACACACCGGAAGTGTACGTGGAAATGACTAGCGTCAACTCACCACCGATTGGCTTTCCGCGGTGGACCTCAGCCTCTCTTCGCTCGCCACTGGCCATGTGGTTTGTCTATTTGAACAGTCCCCGCCCCCTAGAGAAGCCGGGTTCTGAAGCTTCACTTCTCCTTCATTCCTATTGGTCGGTGTGAAAGCCAATCTTCTTCCTCCGCCTGTCTATTGGTCCTTAGGACTGGGAGCCCGCCCTCGCTGCCGCCCGGCTTAGAGGACAGTGGGGAAGGCGGGCGGCGGGTCCTCGGCCCTGAAGTGGTGCTACCGGCGCTGGTGGCGGCAGTAGAGGCCTTGGCCGAAGCAGCGCGGTGAGTTGAGTCTGGGGCTTGGCGCCGACCCTTCTAAGGCAACGGAATGCCCCGACCCACCGCCAGCCTGGTCCGTGGGGCCCCGGAAAGCCGCCAGTCGGGGACGTCCGGGGAGTCCTCTCAGTACCGGTCCCACGAGCCGACTGGGCCCGTGAACCCGACCCCGCGGCAACGCCCACCTCCCCCGGGACCCTTCAGCCGCCGGGCGGCCCAGGCGACCGCACCATCAGCCCCGGCCCGGCCTGAGCCCTGAGGGGACTCCCTGCTGGCCACACGCCCCCCCTTCTTTGAAGCCCCGTACAAATCGGGGCTTCGGTCTCGGAGCAGACCGACCCAGTGTCAGCCCCTTGCATGCCACGCTGGAGACCTCTCAGGAGCCGAGTTCGGTTCCATCCTTGGGTTTCATCTTCTCGTCTTCTCACCCGCCCCCAACCCTAGTTTCAAGCCCCCCCCCCTTCCCAACTTTGTCGGACTTCCTTAGGCCCCCACCAGGACCCTGTGGACAGCTGCCTTCAGAGTAGTTGAATTCACGC